ATATATTCATTTACAATACAGACGGGCACCATCTTGACATGAACATTTTCAAACTTCCCAAAATGACTTCGACTTCAATCTGAAATCTTAACATTGAAGGCGAAGACATGGCCCAATTGTGAGGAAAAGACAAGATAATTAAGATAACGAAAAGTGGCTACCCCTTTTCAATCGTTACGCATCTCAGTCCCTAGTTTCGTCGTTTAGTCTATCATCATGTATTATTGACACAGTAATGCCATCGGGAAGAGACCTCTCATGTCATTAGGTTGGGGTTTCTGTGCTGTAGGTCCTGGCGGATTCCTCGACTGAAGGCGTTAATAGATGAGTTGTCGGGAGGTCGTCTCGAGTTCCTGAATTGTAGGTCATTATGGGTTAAAAGTCATAGGGGCGGTGGACGGGTAGGTGAGCAGGGGGTGGTCAGATGATCCTGTGGTGGTGTCTTGATAGGATTTTCGTTTGATGAACAGTATGGAATTAACAAAAGAAAGTTTTGGTACTTTTTGTACTCGACATCATCTGCAAAAGTGTTCTATAACTCTTAGTGTTCCTTCTTTGTACGCAGCAAATTTTTGTAATCTAATTTTTCAGCATCGTTAACTTCCTTATAACTCTGCTCCTATTTAATATATTTGTACGAAACAAACACCAAACTGAATAGAAATGAATTACCCAAGCTGTTAACATAGTTTATTTATTATAGATAGATGGATTTGCTGGGGTTTGTTAGAATCATCCGAACTGGCACGCCAAATACGAAAAGTTAAAGTAGCCTGCCTGTCAAGGCTATATGTGAGGCAGCGTGGTGGAATCACGCTCTCGTCAAAATAATCAAAGTGAAGAAACTTGCTTTTTTCCCAGGTTTGTGAATTTTTATCAAATTTTTGTTTTTTGGCTTAACACCTTTCATGCCCATTAAAGAACTCATTTCTGTGTGGATTTTTCAGAAAAACGTTGATTAAAAGCACAAAAAATGTACATTTTCAATTACCACGGACTCTTAATCTAAGGAAAAAACTATTCTTTGGCGGCCATTTTCTCACTAATTTTACCTCTGAAAAGAGGTGACACCCCCTTCCTCCTTCTTTTGCAAATATCTCGACTTGCATTCAAGATAA